GGGGCGGGGTCTGGAGCGCGGGAGGAGGGGCCTGGAGCGGGAGGGGCGGGGCCTGGAGTGCGGGAGGAGGGGCCTGGAGCGGGAGGGGCGGGGCCTGGAGTGCGGGAGGAGGGGCCCTAAAAGACCGCGGTTCCGGGAAGCCGCGCCTGTAGAGGGCGAGGTCTGGGGCTTGCCGTAAGGGCGGGGCGTGTAGACGGGGCGGAGAGCTGTGCCCGCGGAGCGTCCACGCCATACAGAGTGGAGGCGTGGAGATAGGGCCCGGGCTCCGCGGGCAGCTCCCGCAGTTGGCGAGGGGCAGGGCTATGAATTCCCCGTGAGGAGGGTGGGGCCGGCAGGCGGACCCTGCAGGGGCGGGGCCTGGATCCAGAGGGGCGGGGCCTTGCCTGCGGGCGGGGCCAGTGGCGGAGTGGGTGGGGCTTGACGAAGTTTGGAAGTCCCAGGCGGTTCTGGACGGGGCGCAGGAGGCAGTGCCATGGGGATCGCAGCCAGGACGTGATGTGGGGGTTGCGAAGGTGTGTGGACGGTCGTGGGTGTGCGAGAGGCCGCGCCCTCGCGTGGGACGTGGCCCCAGGCTTCCCCGCCCGGGACGGACCGCCGGGCCCTGTGGGGCGTGGCCTCGGCGGGTGGGCGTGGTCCTGGCGTGCCCGCAGGCGCGTAGGGGCGGGGCCGCGGGGCGTCAGGTGCGCGTCCGGCGGCTGTAGGCCCGCCCGCTCCTCAGACTGCGGGCGGCGCTCCCCTGGGCGGCCTCGGGGCCGAGGCCTCCGCACGTCGCACCTGCCGTGGGCGCGTCCGGCGCGCGGCACCTGCTGTGTCCGGGCGGAGCTGGCGTCTGGTAAGGAGCGGGGTTGGTCGGCGCCCTCGGGTGCAGGGCGGGCGCGGGCGGCGTGTCCCCGAGGGGCTGAGGGGCTGAGGGGCGGCGGGGCTGAGGGGCGGCTTGATTTACTACGTGGGAAGGTGCTCGCACCTCTGAACGCAGCCTGACCCTCGGGGCCGCGGGCAGCCGGCGCCCCGTCGGGCTCAGATGGGCCTTTCGGGGACAGGACGAGCCCTGACCCTTGACCCCGCCCGGGCGGGAGGCGCTCCCGAGGTGTCTCCCAGGAGACAGGGCCTGCGCTGGGCAGGAAGTCCAGAGGACAGGCGGGGCGCTGTCTCCGCGGTGACGAGCCTCCGGCCCACCGGTAGGAAAGTCAGGCCCTGG